TCTGAGTCTCCAGCATGACCATCCCCCAGATGGTGCACATCTCACTCATTATATATGTAGATACCCGTCCCCCTCCCCCCAGCCCAATACCCCATCACTGCAGCACCCATGTGACCAATTAGGTGCTGTTCAGTTCATACCAATTTGCTGGTGAGTATATGTGGTACTTGCCTTTCCATTCTTGGGAATCTTCACTTAATAGTATGGGTTCCAGCTCTAACCAGGAAAATATAAGATGCGCTATATAACCATTGTTTCTTAGAGCTGAATAGTACTCCATGGTATACATATACACATTTTATTAATCCATTCTTGGATTGATGGGCACTTGGGCTTTTTCCACAGCTTGCATTTAAATGTGCTGCTATAAACATTCGAGTGCAGGTGTCTTTTTGCAGAGTGTATTGGATCATTTGGGTAGATGCCCAGCAATGGATTGCTGGATAAATGGTAGATTCACCTGTATCACTCCAAGGTATCTCCATATTGCTTTACACAGAGGTTGAACTAATTTGCAGTCCCACCAGCAGTGTAGGAGTATAGAATTTTTTAATTTCCATCTTCATTTCTTCATTTATGAAGTAAGCATTTAGTAGGAGGTTGTTTAATTTCCACATTTTTGTGTAGAAATGTGAGTTTCTGTTAGGGTTGATCTCTACTTTTATTCCACTGTGATCTGAGAAGGTACATGGTATGATTTCTATTTTTTAAAATTTCTGAGTATTTCTTTGTGTCCTAGGATATGGTCATCTTAGAGAATGTCCCGTGAGCTGGATGAGAAGCGTATATTCAGTGGATTTTAGGTAGAATGTTCTGTAAATGTCAGTCAGACCTAATTGTTCTAGAGTTTTGTTTAAGTCCATTATTTTTTATTAGTTTTCTGTTTGAAGATCTGTCTCGTGCCGTCAGTGGTGTTGAATCTCCGGCGATTATGAGTTGCTATTAATCCATTTGCTTAGCTCCAGTAAGGTTTGCTTTATAATCTGGGTGCACCTAAGTTGGGTGCATATATATGTAAATTGTTATCTCTTCTTGTTGAACTGTGCCCTTCACATTATATAATGACCCTCTTTGTTTTTCACTACTTTTGTGGTTTAAAAACTAAATCGTCTGAAATACAACTGCCACACAGCCTTCTTTGCTTCCATGCCTAGAATACTGATTCCACCCTTTATTTTTAGTCTATATGCATCCTGCAGGTTACGATGTGTTTCCTGAAGACAGCATGTACTTGGCCTGTTTTTCTGTATCCATTCAGCAGCCTGTGTCCTTTGAGTGGGAGTTTAACCATTCACTATTATTGGAGAACTGATTAGGTAAAGTAGATTACTGTTCATTCTGTTGTTGATGGATGTTGCTTTGATTTCTCTCTTGACCATTGCATTATCGCCTTTAATCTTGGGTTTTGGTTGTTTTTGTTCGTGAGTTTTTTTATGTGGTTCGCTGCGTAACACGTTTTGAGTTACTTTGTAAGGCTGGTCTTGTCTTGGTGAATTCTCTGAGCCTTTGCTGTCTGAAATGTTTTATTTCTCCTTCATATACAAGCTTAGTTTTGCAGGAAAAATTTAGCTGGGCTGTTTTGTTTCAGAAGAGTAAGAATGGGGCCCAGTCTTCCTTGTGTAAGTCTCATTAGAAAGTCTGGTGTATTCGAATTGGCTTTCCTTGTATTTCACTACTTCTTTCATCTTACAGCTCTTAGAAGCCTCTTAGTGATATTTGTCGTCTGATTGACTGGCATGTCGTGATGTCTTCCTGTTGCATTGTCTTCCAGGTCCTCTGAGCTTTCTTGAACTTGTATATCGAGATTTGAGCAGGCCTGGAAATTTTCCTCTGATTATATTTCAAATAGCTTGTCCAACCCTCGGGTGTTGTCCTCTTCCCTTTGATAACTATTACTCTCACATTAGTTTCTTCACATAATCCCACATCTCTTAGGCTTTGCTCTTTTCTCTTGTTTCTCTGCTCTTTTCTGTATTGATTTATTTATTGGAGGTTTATCTTCAATCTCTGAGATTCTTTTTTCTGTTTATCTACCGTGTCTGGACTTTCCACTGTATTTTGATTCCTTGAATTGATTCTCATTTCAGGGTTCGGTTAAACCTTCTTCATTGTGTCTTTCTTTTTTCATTATCCTGAGGCTTTTGTGTTTCTTGTGTTGGTTATTGAGTGTTTTTTGCAAGCTGGGAGTTTTTTATGATCCACATATGAAATCCTCTTCTGTCATATTGGTTGCCTGATTTTGGTCGGTTCCGTTTCTAGGGCCTGGTGGGTCCTCTGTGGGGTGTGTTTTTCCGTTTGGTTCTTCATATTTCCTGATTTTTCGTGATTCTGTCCTCTGTCGATCAGTATGTTGTTTCTTTCCTTTAGGATTATTGTTTGTGTATTCACACACCTTGTTTAGTTTCTGAGGCGTTAGGTGTGTGTTCTGTGGTTAGTTAGGATCACTCCCTGTATATTGAGTCACGTGGGTGCCGTGAAAGGCTGTGCAGATGCCGTCCTGTCAGTGCTGGCGTTTGCTTCGAGGACAGGCTACTGCAGTTGATATTTTGTCTGTAAAGCTGTATCTCTTTACCTGTAGTCCCAAGTGCAGGGGAGGGGAAACAGCAAATCCACCTACCCTTGCCGCTGGTCTCTGGGCTGCTCTGGTGGTCTCAGCCTCCAGTTCTCCTCCGCAGCCTCCTCCCGTGGAGTCTCCCAGGGTCTCGGGTACCCTTCCTTCAGGCCCTCATCCGCTGTATGCTCGTCTTTTTGCTTCTTTTTTCTAATTTCTGCTAGAATCTGTCTTTTCTGCAGAGACACTCTGTCTGGCAGTGTTTCTCGTCTGCCATCTTGCTCCACCCCGCAAGAATACTTTAAAATGCATTGTGAATTCTTCTATAATATTTGTTTTCAAATATTTATGCAAATTTATTCCAACATAATTGAGTAATTTGAATATAACTTGAATTTCACAGGTGCTTATGCACAGTTTCATTGCAAAAATACAAGGTGAAGGCAGAAAATGGATTTATCCAACTACCTTGGTTCACCATGTGTGTAGTGGGCCACAACAGTCTAAATCTACTGCTATAAGTTTTTATTCAATTTTAAATAACCACGTCCACTGCACAATAACTCTCAAGTTGCAACCTATTCATTGCTCACTTCCACAAACAAGCTTCAGGTCTTTGTCAAGATAAAAGGCTATATTTCCCATGGTATTTATGTATTCTTAATGATTTAACTGTATAAAGCTGTAGTACTGTTTTTATTAGGTTTCTATTGTTTTAAACATAACATTGACAATGTTTTTACATGATGTGCACCTAACCCATTTTTCCCATACATCAGTAAGTTTTATTGCATGTATTTCCATTGTAAATTGATTTCAGGAATACATACATTATAATAGAACTGAGTGTAATTTATTACAGGAATTTTAATGTTTTCATATATATTAGCTTATATATAACTTACATTCAATAAAACATTATCACAAACAGTCCAGATGTATCATTAATTTTGTTTTGATTCTATTCAGTCAATTTTTCTTGAAACACTGTATAGTCACTCTCAAAGTAAAATGGAAATCTTATTAATGTATAGTATCATATATTTCCCTATAATTTATTATGTCCTTAACCATTTATTTCTGGCTTATATAAAATTATGCAGAAAACAAAGCCTGCACATGATCGAGCAAAGAAAACTGCCAAAACAGAGAAGAAAAAAGACAAAAGAAAATCCGAGGATTCAGAAGGGTAAGACATAAAGATGCACATTAATCCTTCTCTTTCTTGTTAATTTATATTTTTATTTAGACAAACAATTTAAGATCAAATAAACATAATAGATTTTAGAAACATAAAATTAGTAATATATAGTTTTATAAGCAGACCAGGATATGATTTTGGGAAAAAGCTAAAAAGAGAAGAAGAAAAAACCAAAAGTGAATTGAAGGATGAGGATGAACCTATTTACCTATAAATAGAATTAAATAGGTAAATAGAATTAAATCTTGAAATAATTACAAAGGAAAAGGTTTTACATTGTTTTCTCAATGCTCTAGCTAATGCTTCCTATCAGAAGGTCATTAAATATGAAATGTGCAATTTTGATTCAAAAGTGTAGTTTATTATATCTCAAAGAAGAATCAGTACAGTTAATCAAAGTATGCTCCTAAACTATCAACACAGTTTTGCTAACTTAATGGTAGCTTATTTATGCCAGCAGCGAAGAAGCCTGGAGAGCAAGTGGCGACACAATTGTGAAAGGCATTTTCCACAGGTTGCTGAGAATTGAATATTTTTTCTTGCAAGAAGTGGTCCAAAGCCTGGAAGAAGTGGTAGTCAGTTGGTGCAAGGTCTGGTGAATACGATGGATGACAGAGACTTTCTAAGTCTAGCTTCTGTAGTTTGAGCAGCATTGTTTGGGTGACATGTGGTCAAGGGTTGTCTTGCAAGAGCATTGGCCTGTCTCTGTTGACCAATCTCAGCTACTTAAACTCAAGCATCCTCATCATTTCATCCAGTTGGTTGCAGTGGACATCTGCTGTCATCGACTGACCAGGTTTCATGAAGCTGAAGTATAGTGGATAATACCAGTGATGGACCAGCAGACAGACAAACAGTAGCTTTTTTGGATGAATATTTGGTTTTGGACTGTGCTTTGGCACTTTATTTTTAGCCAGCCATTGTGCCAAATGCTTGAGATTGTGAAAAATAACCCATTTTTCATCACACGTCACAATATGGTGTAGAAATGGTTCGCCTTTATGTCATGATAGTAGAGAAAGGCAAGCTTCAAGACGATTTCTCTGCTGACACTCATTTAATTGATGTGGTACCCATCTATACAGCTTCTTTACCTTGCCAATTGGTTTCAGATATCCAATATTATTAGAATAGTAACATCCCTCCTTGCTGCTAATTCACATGTAGGTTGAGATGGATTTGCTTCCACTACAGCTTTCAGCTCATCATTAATCCACTTTGGCCTCTAATTGCCCATGTGGCTCATTTTCAAGATTAAAATCACCAGAATGGAACTTCTCAAACCATCGATGTACTATGCGTTCATTAGCCAGATCCTTCCCAAGCACTTTGTTGATATTTCAATCTGTCTGTACAGCAGTGGTTCTGTGAGGGAACTCATATTTGAAAATAACAGGAATTTTTTGACTGCATGGTTTTTGGAGACATGGTTTCACAAAAATTGCTCTTAAAAGATAATCACAAGCTAAACTGTGCATTTCAGAGAAGGAGGATGTACCTTCACAATAAAAATAAAACAAGAGGTGTCAAAGTAAAATTTCAGAGATGACAGCTGTCAAACTTAATTCTTAAGGAAATCAAACATTCATATTTAGTAACCTAATAATTTGTTAACTCTCCAGTCTGAGCTATTTTTTTCTATCTTTACTTCTTAATTATACTTATTTTTATAAAAACAGTTATCTGGTTTTTGTCTATATGGATTATTATAAAGTAGCTTTATTAAGTAAATGAATGTCGTCTTTAGCATTATAAAATAATTATTGCTTTTTGAATTTGCTTGTTTGAACCTTAATCTTAAAATAGTTTTAAAAAGAAACTATGAAATCAGTCATCATAGAGCTCCATAAATTCTGAAAAGAAATTTTTTGTGTCCAGGTGTGGTGCCTCACACCTGTAATCCTAGTACTCTGGGAGGCCAAGGCTGGAGGATTGCTTGAACTCAGGGGTTTAAGACCAGCATGAGCAAGAGCGAGACCTCGTCTCTACTATAAACCTAAAGTGATCTACAGAATCAATGCAATATCCATCAAAATACCATCAGAATTGTTTACAGATCTAGAAAAAATAATTCTTCACTTCGTATGGAACCAGAAAAAACCTCGTATAGCCAAAACAATCTTAAATAAAAAGAACAAACTGGGAGGCATCAGTCTTCCTGACCTCAAGCTGTACTATAAAGCAATAATAGTTAAATCAGCCTGGTAATAGCACAAGAACAGAAGCATAGATATCTAGAATAGATCTGAGATACCAGAGATGAAACCATCAGTATACGGTAATTTAATCTTTGATAAAGGTGACAAAAATATACATTGGGGAAAAGAATTTCTCTTCAATAAATGGTGCTGGGAAAACTGGCTAGCTACAGGCAGAAGAGCAAATCAGGATCCCTACCTCTCACCTCTCACAAAAATTCAATCGAGATGGATAACAGACTTAAACTTAAGGCATGAAACCTTAAGAATTCTAGAAGAAGATGTTGGGAAAACCCCATCAGACATTGGCCTAGGCAAAGAATTTTTGAGGAAGACCCCCAAGGCAATCACCGCAGCATCAAAAATAAACAAATGGGATCTAATCAAATTTAAAAGTTTCTGCACAGCCAAGGAAACCATCAGTAGAGCAAATACACAACCCACAGAGTGGGAGAAAATATTTGCTCTCTACACCTCTGATAAAGGTCTAATAACAAGAATCTATCTAGAACTTAAAAGAATTAATAAGAAAAAAGCAAACAATCCCATCAAGAAATGGGCGACAGAAATGAAAAGAAACTTCTCCAAAGGAGATAGAATAATGGCCTGCAAACATATAAAGAAATGATCAACTTCTCTAATTATTAGAGAAATGCAAATCAAAACCACAATGAGATACCACCTAACCCCAGTAAGAATGGCCTATATCAAGAAAACCCAAAACAACAAATGCTGGCGAGGATGTGGAGAGGCAGGAACACTCCTACACTGCTAGTGGGACTGCAAATTAGTGCAACCTTTGTGGAAAAGGTTGGAGATACCTCAAACAGCTGGAAATAGAAATACCATTTGACCCTCCAATAGCATTGTTGGGCATCTACCCAAAAGAGCATAAGACATTCTATTATAAAGACATCTACACCCAAATGTTTATAGCAGCACAATTCACTATTGCACAGTCATGAAAACAACCCAAGTGCCCGTCAATTCATGAGTGGATAATTAAAATGTGGTATATCCTAACAATGGAATATTACTCAATCCTAAGAAATGACGGTGAGCTAGCACCATTTATGTTATCCTGGATTAAGCTTAAGCCCGTTATCCAAAGTCAGGCGACACAAGACATGGAAAATGGGCCCTACATTTACTCGCCATCAAATTGGTACTGACTGATTAAAACTATGGTTTTCAAATGGTGGCAATGCTCACCAGGGATTCGGGAGGGGGGGAACCCAATCTTAGGGAGGTGGCGAGTATTTTGGAAGGGAAGAGCATAACTCTAACCCTTCTTAGGGAGAGGCAAAGTTATACAATGTAACCAAAATGTCAAAAAAAAAAAATCAAAACAAAACTTTTTGTCGGGAGGTGGGCAGGTGGTAGGGGGAGGGGGAAGGGGGGTGTATGCTTCATAACGTGTGTGGTGCACACCACCGGGGTATTGGACACATTGGGGAGGGAGGGGGGCAGGGGCAATATTTGTAACCCTAACAATATTTGTACCTCCATAATGTGATGAAATGAAAAAAATAAAATAAAAATAAAAATCCTATTTCCACCATATCATATTCCCTCTTCAAACATATAACAGAACCATATACAATAGTTATTAGATCAATAATTAGATATGTAGAATACAAGCCAGGCACATCTAGAATAATCTATAAGATGCTGTTATAAGATTACACACCAACTTTAAGAACTGCTTTTCAATTGCATACTATTTTTTTTCTGAATTCTCTACATGTTAACATAAAAGATTGTCATTTAAACATGAATAAATTCAGCTTAGATATCGTAGAGGAAAAAGGAAATTTCTTTAAGCCAAAATTCTCTCTCTCTCTCTCTCTCTCTCTCTCTCTCTCTCTCTCTCTGTACACACACACACACACACACAGAGTCATTTGAAAACATTTTTTTGTTTTCTATTTTTGCTGATAATCTCTTTTACATTTGTTTAAAATGTATTGTGAATAAAATGTGCATTTCAGATAAAAAAATAGAAATTAGCCAAACAACTAAAAATAGAAAAAAAATTAACCGGGCACGGTGGTGTGTGTCTGTAGTCCCAGCTACCTGCGAGGCTGAGGCAGGAGGATCATTTGAGCCCAGGAGTTTGAGGTTGCTGTGAGCTAGGCTGATGCCACGGCACTCTAGCCCAGGCAAGAGAGTGAGACTCCATCTCAAAAAAAAAAAAAAAAAAAGAAAAAGAAATTTTTTGGACAAATAGCTTTGACTTAGAGAAGAAAAAAATGACTAGAGAAGAAAACATGACCAATGCACTTTGAAAACCTCAGTCTTTTCACATTTTAATTATACCTATGAGAAAGTTAGCTTGAGAAATGTTATTTAGTTATCATCTGACCTGTATAGATTCTATGGCTTTCAAATAATGTGTGTTTCTTTAAAAAAATTTTTATTTCTTTAAAAAATTTCATCCTTTCAAAATGATTTAAAGTCTTCCTCAAAGAGGCAAAGCAGTGATGCATTTTAAACACCATGATATATTTTAAAACATTTTTTTGTTACAGGAAGATGTCTCCGGACAAAGAACTTAAAATAAAAGAGGATTTGCTTCAAGTCCAGGTAACACATACACTTTCTCTCTCTGTGCATCTATATTTAATTAATGACATATGCTCTTATATGTATAAATAACAGATGTATGTTATGTGAATATGAACATATTTGTGTGTGTGTGTGTGTGTGTGTGTGTACTGAAATTCTTCCTAAGATACATCTTTCCTGCTTTTCTCTGCAAGTTTCAGAAAATAATACAGTAAATCTAGGGATATTTACTGTCAAGATTTTAAAAAAATTATCATGTGTTACTCAACTTTAGGCAATATCGTGGAGGAAATAATATCATATTGGGGACCAAAATAGGGACTTACTAGTTATATGATTTTGGATAAATCCCTTTAACCTATTTGAATTTTATATTTTCTATAACCAAAATGGGTAAAGTGATAACTAATCTATCTCAAAAAAGGTACAAGAGTTATAAGAAGCAAATGAAAACTTCTTCGGAAATTGTAAACTATATAGCCCACTCTGTTTTATGTGATCCAATAAAAGGAATACAAGTAACCTGTTATTTCATTTAGGCTTTGTAATACTTTTTTTTTCTTTTGCTCCAAATTGATTTCTTAACACCCATCATAGCATCATACCATCCATTTCAGTAAATGGCTGGAGTTGTGTCCTACAAGTATGTACACACCTGAATGACTCAAGAACTAGATAACATAACTTTTGGAAAAAAATAAGAGTGATACTTGAGATACTGAATATAAAATGTACAACTTTATAGTATTAGTTTTCTATTGTTGCATAACAAGGTACCACAAATTTAGCAGCTTAAGCAATTTATATTATCTCACAGGTTGAGTGGTTAGGAGTCCGAAGGTGGTTTCCTGGTTGCTTATGCTTAGGGTCTCAGCAGACTGTATTCACCGTGTTGGCTGGGCTCTATGCCATTTTGTAACTTGGGAGTACTCTTCCAAACTTAAGTGGATATGACAAACTTCAATTCCTTGCGGTTGTTGCTGAGGCACTCAACTTCTGGGAGCAGTCTGCAGTTTCCTGTCACATGACCTTTTCCATACATGGGGCACATCATAGCAGCTTGCCTCTTCTTTTAGGCCAGCTGAGAATCTCTCCTGTCTACTAAGACAGAGTCTATAATGTAACTTGCTCATGGGAGTGACATCCTGTCACCCTTGCTATAGCATATAACCTAATAAAAGGAGTGGCATCCCACCACTTAGCCATATTATATTGGTTAAAAGCAAATCACAGATCCTACCCACAATCAAAGGGAGTGTATTATTTTATTATATGGAACATAACTCCAGGAGGGAAGATCATCGGACTAACTTAGAATTCTGCCTCCATGCTTATAAGCTTCTTTTAGATAGAATGGCATTTTGTATATTTTTAAAATTTTGTTATAATTCCATTATTTTATTAATATCGGAAGTGTTTAAGCTAATGTCCTATAAAATTATTTTTTATGAATTTAAAATAAATATTTTCTCTATAGGCATAATTTTTCTGTAAAGAATGTCAGTGGATTTAATGATAATTTTAGAGGAATTTATCTCCTTCCCCCAGCACTCTATTATGAGCTGTGTGGATATAGGCCATTTTACAGAGATTAGTAGATGATAAAAAGTGACTTGCTTAGGGTTCGAGAACAAATTAATAGTGAAATTTGAACTGCAAAAATGGCTTTCTGAATCCTGCTCAGCATTTACAATAATATTGAAAAATTATTTAGTTTTATTTCCTTATACAGGCATGAATAATAGATTATATTATTATACATTTGTTCAAATAATTATAGTGTTTATAAAATGTTTAAGTCACATGAAAAGTTTATTTTTTGTTTTTAAATTAACTACTAGTTGTTTACCTCTTATTTAGGGGGCCATTATTGCAGTAATTATTCTAATGTCTGTTTAAAGGATATGTAGATAAAAATCTATTTGGACTTAAGGCTTTCCTCATGTTGTACAAATTGTACCTTGAACAAGGATGCTGGTATAGCATGCAAATATTTTCTCCCATTCCATAGGTTGTCTATTCACTCTAATGATTGATTCCTTGGCTATGCAGCAGCTTTTTAATTTTATCAGGTCCCATTTATTTATATTTGTTATTGATGTGATTGCTTTTGAGGTCTTCTTCATAAATTCTTCACCTAGGCCGATGTCTATAAGAATTTTTCCAACCTTTTCTTCTAGAACTCTTATGGTTTCATACCTTAGGTAGAAGTATGTTATCCATCGTGAGTTAATTTTATTGAGAGGTGGGAATCCTATTTCATTCTTCTACATGTGGCTATCCACTTTACCCAGCACCATTTATTGAATAGGTATTCTTTCCCCCAGTGTATGTTTTTGTCTGCTTTGCCAAAGGTCGGATGGAGATATAGGGATGGTTTATATCTGGGCTCTCTGTTCTGTTCCATTGGTCTGTGTCTCTGTTCTTGTGCCAGTAACATGCTGTTTTGGTTACTATAGGCTTGTAGTATAGCTTGAAGTCTGGTAATGTGATGCCTCCCAATTTATTCTTTTTGCTTCAGGTTGCTTTGGCTATACAGAGTCTGCTCTGATTTCATATGAGGCATAGAATTATTTTTTCCAGATCTGTGAAAAATGACGTTGGTATTTTCATAGGAATTGCATTGAATCTGTAGATCACTTTGGGTAACTATAGGCATTTTAACAATGCTGATTCTGCTGGTTCATGAGCATGGCAGTATGGTTTTCCATCTGTTTATGTCCTCTGCCATTTCCTTCCTTGGTGTTTCATAGTTCTCCCTGTAGAGATCTTTCACCTCCTTGGTTAAATATATTCATAGGTATTTAATTTTTTTTGTTGCTATTATGAAAGGTATTGAGTCTTTGATTTGGTCCTCAGTTTGACTATTGTTGGCATATATGAATGCTACTGATTTGTGAAGATTGATTTTGTAACCTGAGACTTTGCTGAATTTATTTATCAATTCTAGTAGTCTCTTGGCAGATTCTTTGGGGTTTTCTAGATAGAAGATCATGTCATTAGCAAAGAGCGATAGTTTGACCTCTTTTGTACCCATTTGGATGCCCTTGATTTCCTTCTCTTGTCTGATTGCTCTGGCTATATCCAATAAAGGGCTGATAACTAGAATCAATAAAGAACTGAGGAAAATCAGCAAGAAAAAATCAAACAGACCCATTAAAAAGTGGGCAAGGACATAAGCCGAAACTTTTTAAAAGAAGATAGACTAATGGCTAACAAACATATGAATAAATGCTCAGCATCTCTAATCATCAGGGAAATGCAAATCAAAATTGCAATGAGATATCACTTAACTCCAGTGAGAATTGCTTTTATCAAAAATCCCAAAATGACAAGTGTTGGTGTGGATGCAGACAGATAGGAACACTCGTACATTGCTGGTGGGATTGCAAACTAGTACAACCTCTATGGAAAGTAGTAGGGAGATACCTCAAAGAACAGAAAGTATACCTACCATTTGATCCAGCAATTCCATTACTGGGTATTTATCCAAACAGAAAAAAGACATTTTCTAAATAAGACATCTGCACTCGAATTCTTATAGCAGTACAATTCATAATTGCAAAGTTGTGGAAAGAACCCAGTGCCCATCAATACTTAAGTGGATTAACAAAATGTGGTATATGTATGACATGGAATACTACTCAGCCATATAATAAAATGGTGATCTAGTACCTCTTGTATTATCCTGGATGGAGCTGGAGCCTATTTTTGTAAGTGAAGAATCACAAGAGTGGAAAAACAAACACCACATGTACTCACCATTACATTGGTACTAATTGATCAACACTTATGTACACATATGGAAGTAACATTCATTGGGGATTGGGCAGGTGGGGACTGGAGGAGAGGATGCATTAATTCACACCTACTGGGTGTGTTGTGCACTGTCTGGAGGATGGGCACACTTCTAGCTTTGGTGCAGGCAGTGAAAAGGCAATTTATGTGATCAAAGCATTTGTACCCCGTAATATTCTGGAATTAAAAAAAGAAAGAATGCTGGGCTAAGGAAAAGTGAGTATTGAAATTAAGCCTATGCTTTATTTGCCAGTGACGTACTCTGGCATAGACTGCGTCTGCATGGAAGAAGGGGTCGGGTCCTTTTTCTCATTCATCAAAGATACTGTATGGACTAGGCGTCAGTAGCTGTAGTTATACTAACAAAAATTATGCTTAGAGAATATAATATAAAATATTTTGTTATCCTATTAACTTTTTTTTTATTTATTTTTTTATTTCGGCATATTATGGGGGTACAGATTTTAAGGTTTCAATAAATGCCCATTTCCCCCCCTCCCTCCAAAAGTCTGAGTCTCCATCATGACCATCCCTCAGATGGTGCATATCTCACTCATTATGTATATATATACCCGCCCCCCTCCCACCTGCCCAATACCCTACTACTGTAGTACCTATGTGTCCACTTAGGTGCTACTCAGTTAATACCAGTTTGCTGGAGAATATATCTGGTGCTTGTTTTTCCATTCTTGGATACTTCACTTAGTAGTATGGGTTCCAGCCTTACCAGGAAAATATAAGATTGTGCTATATCACCACCATTGTTTCTTAGAGCTGAATAGTATTCCATGGTAATATATACACCACATTTATTAATCATTCTTGATTGATGGGCACTTGGGCTGTTTCACAGCCTTGCGATTATGAATTGTGCTGCTATAAACATTCGAGTGCAGGTGTCTTTTTTGTAGAGTGTCATTGGATCATTTGGGTAGATGCCCAGCAATGGGATTGCTGGATCAAATGGTAGATTCACTTGTATCGCTTTAAGGTATCTCGATATTGCTTTCCACAGCGGTTGAACTAGTTTGCAGTCCCACCAGCAGTGTAGGAGTGCTCCTCTCTCTCCGCAACCACGCCAGCATTTATTGTTTGGAGATTTTTTGATAAAGGCCATTCTCACTGGGGTTAAGTGATATCTCATTGTGGTTCTGATTTGCATTTCCCTGATGATTAGAGATGTTGAGCATTTTTTCATATGTTTGTTGGCCATTCTTCTG